GTATGTGAGAAGGAAGTCATCCAGGAGAGTCTCTGCAAAGAAAGTTACAAACAAAATATTTTTAAAGGCACAGCACATCTAAATTGTCTGTGATTGTAAAAATGGCAATTAACTATAAAAATAATCAGTATCATATATCTGAAAAAAAATTAATACTGGCAATGTAGAATTTCAAGTAAATCTATACACCAGTTTATTCAATTTCCAAAGTTTATTACATTTCCTTTTAGAGACAAAAGATTAAACTACCCCTTTAATTGTATCCCTTTAGCCTTTGTTTCTATGTTCCAGATATTCTAAGTTATACAATTAAAAACTACAGCCAAATTATGTAATACAGTTTAGGTTTTCCTGGTTCATAACGCTGATGTCAGCACTGCAAAAATTTTAACAATATTGAACATACACATACTTCTGTATTCAGAGAGAGAGAGAAGTATAACAGATTATCTTTCCATTAATTATACTGATGTTCCTTGCAATTTGCTACAAATAACAAAATTCTCTAATGCACAAGTTTTCCACCAAAGCAATCTAAATGTACCTATATTTCACAGGCATAAATCTGCTTCCACATACAGATCTCCCTGCTGGATTGCGGCATTAATGATTTTGAATCTATTTTTAAAATACTTCACATTTCAACCTTTTTCCACATGGGCTGGACTTTCAGCAATCAGATCAACTAAATAACCAAATGTGAGTCCCAATTTACTGGTGGGGTTAACAGCAAGAAAACAAGACTTTAGCCTGTTAAAACATTTGCCAGAGTGCAGTCTACCTATGTACAATTGCTCCATTAGGACACTAAGTACATCGTATATCTATTCAATGAAAGACAAAAATTTATTTGTTCATCAAAATGCTATATCATTTTCTACACTGAAGGACCTTGGGGGTGGCATACAACATATTTTAATTCATTTAACTGCATACTCTCTAATTGTCCCAATTATTACCAGGACATTTCCAATTAATCCTCTTGTCATCCATCTTTTTCAGCTACTGTAAAAATATCCCAGTTTCTCTCTCCTCCACGTTTATAGCTCACTTCAGCTGCTGCAAATTGAGTTCTAAGCACAAAAGTAGTCTGCACTCAATTAACTCAGAGAGGGAGGCGTAGGTAGTAAAGGAAGGGCAGAATCTTGCCCTTCCAGGGAGGCTCAGGTAAGAGCAAATGGCTGCAGCTTCTCCTAGCTTATCTTTTCATCCTTATTAATAACTTCTCCAATCTCAGACAACACATGCTGATGTTGTTTGAACATATCTTCCAGTTTTTGTCTGTAAAACATTGGAGGTATATGACTGGAATATGAACTTGTTTATTTCAAATCATGTTTCTTCATTACTGAAATTTGCATCTCACCTTTCCCAAGGAGTGTACAAGGGATTTGGCAACAAATAATATGCAACCAATAACAATCCTAAAAAGTGTAAAACAATACATAAGAACAAGCATGACAACAGGTCAATAATAACAACAAAAGCAACATGTAAAACAAATCAGCTCAACAGTCCAAAGGTTTATTTAAATAAAAAGTGCTTTCACTTTGTGGAAGGGCAGCCTGATAGCAAGTTGAATGTGGCCCAGCCACCAGAATGTTCCCACCAAATTCACTTCACATATTCATGGGACGTTATCACACGGGGCCCAATCCAAACAGAATCCAAACGAAATCCCGACCTAATACATATTATTTTCCCGTGTTTCCACACAACGTTGCACAGAACCCCGACAGAAAGTGGAAAGAACCAAGATCTTTTAAATTTTGGTTTCTTGAGGAATTGCAATTGCGCGACGGGAATCATTTCGCATTTACCGTAAGTCTGATCACCAAATACGTATTGTGGTGCATTTCCCCGTCATTACTCTATGCGGGGCGGGGCCTGCGCTCCAAGGAGGACCTCCTCAGAGTGCCGGCTCTCCAAGGGGGACCTCCTCGGAGCGCCGACCCTGTGCGGGGCCTGCACTCCAAGGAGGACCTCCTCAGAGAGTTGGCTCTCCAAGGAGGACCTCCTTGGAGCGCTGGCTCTCCGAGGGGGACCTCCTCGGAGCGCCAACCCTGCGCGGGACCTGGAGCGCCAGCTCTCAGAGGGGGACCTCCTCGGAGCGCCGACCCTGCGCTTCGGCTGACACCAGCTGCGCCCTTTTCTGGAAGAAGGGATCTCGAGACTGTTGTACATGCACTGGTAACCTCACATCTGGATTTCTGCAATGCGTTCTACATGGGGCTACCCTTGTGCTTGGTCCGGAAACTGTAATTAGTACAGAACATGGCAGCCAGAGTAGTTTCTGGAACATCCAGGAGGGACCATATTACTCCAGTATTACGGTCCCTCCACTGGCTGCCTATTAGTTTTTGGGCCCAGTACAAGGTGTTGGTTACCACCTTTAAAGTTCTAAATGGCTTGGGTCCAAACAATCTCAGGGACCGCCTTTTTCCTTATAATCCTCCCCGCGCACTTCAGGCCTCTGGAAGGAATTTGCTGCAGCCACAAAAATCTAGGCTCTCGGCTACCTCCCAGAGGGCTTTTTCTGTTGTCGCCCACAGATTATGGAACGACATGCTAGATGAGATCCATCAATTGACATCTTTAGACAGCTTTAAAAAGGCTGTCAAGATGGATCTCTTCTGGCAGGCCTTTCCAGGATAGATAATCCCGGCCTCAGGAACCCTTGTTAGGAGGGTCCCCAATAGTCCTTCCCTTAGAATTAATACAAAGCTGCCGCAGTTTCATCATCACTGTTATTAATTGTGGTTTGTATTTGTTGTTGTTTTATCTGTTGGTCTTAATCTGTATCTGGTTTAATACTTTTTTAAGGGGGGGATGGGATGGGGTTTGATGTATTCTAATTTTAATATTTGTTAGCCCCGATTGATCTCAGAGGGGCGGGATAAAAATAAATTATTATTATTATTATTATTATTATTATTATTATTATTATTATTATTATTAAGGTAAGCAAGACAGAAATGAAACAAAGGAGAGAATATATGTAGTACCTATCTTCATTCCTGTTAAAAAGTAAGAACTGTTTCAGGAACAAAAGGTAAAAGTCTACTGAAGTTACTGTAATAAAAGACACAAGACCATATGAGAAGATCCTCAGTTGTAAGAATTTATCTGTGCCTTCTAACCATGAATGCTAGCTCTTATTTATGAAATTGTAAATAGATGCAATTATTGTCCCTTTCGTACTCCTCAAAATCCTATGTAACTGAGATTTTGAAGATGATACATGTATTTGATTTGATAGTCAATGCACATAATGATATTCCTCTGCATATCAAAATGAAATGAAATGTTGAATATATTAATATCTATAGTGTAGCAATCCATTCTACATATCATTTCAAATATTAAATAATCTAGCATTGTCTTTTTACCAGCTAATTTTTTTAAAAAAGATTATAATTAAAAAAAAGGTACATTAATTCAGCTTATATTATTCTGGCAACCTCTTCAATCCCACCAACTTCAAAAGATTTTCTAGCTAAAACTATCTGAAGGCTTTTATGTTTTAGATGGAAAGAGTGCCATGCTAGAGCCATGAAACTCCATGGGTCCAATTTCTGCATCATTTGCACATTCCTGTTTTCACTGAACTCTACATGTGTGTGTGAAATTGACTGGATAATAAGACCTCAGGAGGTTTAACTTTCAGAATTTCCTCATCACCATTCTAAAGAAGAAGGGCATGCTCTTTTCCAGTGAAATGGAGTGACCCTCAACACATAACAAGAATGCTGACTGTAAATGCTCTCACAGCAACTGAGAGAGTAAAGGAAGGAACAACAATCCTAGAGATAACTTTTGATGCAAGGATAGAATGATCCCCTTATGGAAACAATAGCAATAGCATTAAGCACTCCCTAACTGGTTTACAATGTGTAAGATAATTGTCCCCAACAATCTGGGTACTCATTTTAGTGACCTTGGAAGGATGCAAGCCTGAGTCAAGCCTAAGCCCCTTGGCTGGGATTGAACTCGTGACCTTATGGTTTGTGAGTGAGTGGCTGCAGTACAGGCATTTAACCACTGCGCCACCAGAATTCATTAATCTTGGCCTATTCTGATACTATCGCCTATGAACCTTAAAGCTAATATGTGCATAGGCAGCACACTCTTTCTTCATATGACCAAGCTAATGAAGCAAGCATTCATGACTTCACAGCTTCCTTTTCAGATGTAAACATCTTCCAGTCTCAATTTCTTTTAGTTTTTCTTAATCCCACATGCACTTTCTTGCCATCTTTCTTTCATACTGGATTGTGAGACACCATATTTTCTTCCTGAATTGAAGCTTGATGGCTCTTTTTACAATATAACTTTCCTAAATTGCTCATTTAATTGTTCATCAAGTCCAACCCTTTCCCAATGCAGGAACCAAGAGTTCATATCTACTCCAAAGAAAGCTTCCCTGGAAAGATGCCTGGAAAGAGATTGGGAGGTTGTACTTTGCTTCACGCTCTTGGGAAGAAGTTTCATATTTCTTCCCAATTTTCTTTATTTGTATGGGTGGCTGCCATAGCAAGAGTTGAGGCAATGAGGATTTCACCACAGATTTGTAGTTTATCTAATGACTTACCTAAAACAATCATCTGCAGCAGGGCAAACACTGCCTGAAAATGAACTTACATGTAACCCTTTGCAATCTGTACAGTACATTCTGATTGTTACTAATTGCTGTAGTCTAGTTAATGGTTTGCTGACATCCACCTGTAATTCTATAATATCAGTTCAAGATTCGATACTGAAAACTTGGTTTGAACAAATATAAACAGGGTTCCAACAACTATATCAGATATATAGATAAAGGTAGTGCTTAGCAGTGGTACTTCATTATCTTATTGTTGTGCACCTTCAAGTCATTTCCAACTTATGGCGACTCTAAGGCTATCACAGGGTTTTCTTGGCAAAATTTATTCAGAGTGATTTTTGCCCTTCTCTGCGGCTGAGAGAGTGTGACATATCAAAGGTCACCAAGGAGGTTTCCATGGCTGAGTAGGGATTTGAACCCTGGTCTCCAGAATCACAGTCTAATGCTCAATCCACTACATCAAGCTGGCTCTCACTACTTTCCTCAAAAGGGAACTACATACTACAGCAGACATCCAAGAAATAGGCAACTATTACTAGGATCTGCTGCTCCTCAAGTGGCAATAAGATGTAGCTATTCATCTTTTTCTAATAGGAGTTTATCACACAGGAGGAAATTAGGCGTTTAAACAGCAATTAACCCATGAAAATCATGCAATTGACATTAAAACGTAATTAAAATGAGATTAACACACGAGCCATTATCCCATGTGAATAACCAGGGAATAACGAGGCAATAAACAGCAAAAAGTCATTCACAGGAAAATTCCGTGAATGATTTGCTACTGTTTCTTGCTTGGTTATGCATGGAATAATGGCATTTGAATATGACGTTGTGTGAAAATCATTAGCGCAATTGCAGGATTTTGTTGTTGTTAACTGCCTTCGTGTTGATCTCAACCCATGGCAACCCTATGGATGAGACATCTCCAGGCCCCCTTGTCCTCTACTACTCTGCCCAGCTCCTACAAACTCATATTCGTGGTCTCTTCAATAAAGTCCATCCATCCAGCATGTGGCCTTCCTCTCTTTCTACTTCCCTCCACCTTTTCTAACATTATTATCTTTTCCAACAATTCATGCCTTCTCAAGATGTGTCCAAAATATGACAGTCTAAGGGCCTCAGCAGACAGGCAGCCGTGGGCCGCCCTGGGAAGGTGCGCTGCGGGACCGAGGTATCCCCATGCCTTGATCCAGCGGTGCACCGTTGTCGCACCTGGAAAGGAGTGCTAAAATAGTGTTCCTTTCATATGTCGCCGAAAGTGTGCCGCAAAAGGTTGCGGCACACTTTCGGCAACCCTTCCGCCGCAGCGTGTCCAGACACTGTGGTGAGAGGTTGTCCTCAGAGCGCCGGCTGTGTGGAGGGCTGGCGGCTCTGAGGACGACCTCAGGAGGGGGAGGGGGCGCCGAGCGTGCGGCTGCCCCTCCCCTTCCTTGCACCGAGGACGGCTTTTTAAGCCGTCTGCCGAGGCCCTAAGTCTTGTCATCTTGGCTTCTAGGGATATTTCTGGCTTGACCTGCTTTAGGACCCATTTGTTTGTCCTTTTGGATGGCCATGGAATCTTCAGCACTCTTCTCCAGCACCACATTATCTCAATTGAGTTGATTTCCCTCCTATCTTCTTCTTGACTGTCCAGCTCTCACATCCATACATGGTAACAGGGAATACAGTGGCTTGTATAAGTCTGACTTTTGTGCTGAGTTGTATGTCTTTGCATTTTAGGATCTTTTCTAGTTCTTTCATAGCCGCCCTCCCCATTCTTAATCTTCTCTTGATTTCCTGGCTGCAGTTCCCACTCCGATCAATGTTTGATCCCAGATATGAGAACTCTTTTACTATTTCTATTTCCTCATTGTCTAGTTTGAATGTGTGTAAGTTTTTTTTTCTCTCTGTAAGTTCTCTGTGGTCATTATTTTTGTTTTCTTTATGTTCAACTGTAAGCTTGCCTTTGCACTTTCTTCCTTAGTAGTTGTTCCAGGTCTGTGAGTTTCTCTACTAGTATTATCATGGTTTTATTATTGCGGGATTATCACGGATATAAACAATATAAAAATAGCTGCTCCTTTTAACGATATCATGCTGGCAAGCGTTGGAGAGAAAAACAAGGGAAGAACTCTTGGATAAGCAGCTGCAATGCACAATCACCTGCCTAACTATACAATAACAAAGTCAAGCAGGATTAAGGAGTCTCACTGCAAAATATATTTAGAATCTTTTTAATGCCACACTTCTTATAAAACCTGTTTCAAAAATAATGTGTAAAACTGGTAGGAAAAGTGCATAAGAAAGCATTACAATTTGGCAAATAGGATTCTGGCCAAATCAACAGCTGGGTTTGGGAACGGAGAGGAAACAATTCAAGATGCTGTGATTCAGTAAAGTGCTTAAATTATTTACATTCTACAGGTGGAAACATGGAAGCTGTGAAACAATGAGCTGTCACCTATCTCCAGTCCTGTTCTTTAAAAGGCAATATGGGATTTGTAAGTTTCCCAGGGAAAACCAACACATTCTTGTTTTGTTGCAACTTTTGTTTTCCTATGTATTGTGACAGGACTTGATCTACACATTTTGGTTAAAATAACTTCTTCAAGCAGCTACCGTGGCTAATAGCTATTGATAGTTCTATCATTCCTTGAATGTATTTAACCCTCTGATAATTACCAAAGGTACCAAAGAGGTCTACCATCCATCAAGTTCATGTTAATTGTGTGATATATAAAGTATTTCTGTCTATAAGGCTACAACTGATCCACTGTATAGCATGACTGTATGTAGAATAAAAAGTAACATGTTTTTACTTTTTAAAACTGTGCAAGGTACAAGGAGAAGAAAAACAAGATACATTTTTTGTCCTGAAAGTACTTTGAGGAACCGTGCTGGGATTTCTTTTATCCTTGGCAGGTTTCAGGCATGTTTCTCTGCAAGAACTATGTATATACATTTCAGTTTCAGCTTTCATCCTTTATGATGGATTGTGGCAGAATTAAAGTTTAATGTAAAGAGGGGATATCATGGCAGAACAGTAGCCAACTGACAGCCTACACATAAAAGGAGCAAAGTTTAGTATGCAGAGCTTTGAAGAGTGTCATTTAACTATCATATCTCCTGTGACCCTTACGTGGGACTATAGTTGAATATAATTTATCACAAGATTCTCAAAGTCTCCTGCTCCCTCCCCTCCACTGGACCATTTTTTCAGCATCAGTCAAAAGCACAGTGCCATCCTAACTTTGTACTTCCACTGCTAAGAACTAAAAAAGAAAAAAAAGAGTATTCACTGTTGGTTTTAGGTAGAGTCAGGCAAAATCAGGTGTAATGTACTTTCTGCTTCTGGCTCCACTAGACCCCACTGCCTCACTCGAAAGTCAAGCAGCTAGGCTTAGCTACCATTTTATTTTCTCACAATGTCAGTAGTAGAAATAAATTTGATATTAAAAAGCTCTTTGATAATTAGCAATGCATATTTTTTTAAAAAAAATATTTACTTAGGTCTTGGAATTTAACACACAGTAAGAAGAAACAGGATTTTTTGCACTCTCTTGACTGTCAAAAGACTGGTACTTCAGTACTGAAAAATAATTCTTCCCCCATTCTTGATATAGTGGTTAGAAGAACTAACAATACTTGCAACATTTGATAGAGGTGGTACAGTTGCCCCTCCATTTTTGCACAGGATCTGTTCTGGACGCCCCCCCCCCCCATGAAAATGGAAAATTGCCAATAGTCAATCCCCATTGGCTTGAATGGTGGTAAGTGCCCCATTTTTTCACCCTCTGTTTGCCGCCCACAAACGAGCGAGGGACACTGACTCCAAGTCCACGAAAACAGAGGGGTGACTGTATATAGATACAACTTGCAAATTGACTTTCCCCTCTCTTTTCAATATTGTGATTGTTTTTGTGTTAAAATATTCATATCCTGTCCTATATCAAAGCTCTCAGGCCAGCTTATAAAAAACATTCACACAAGTTACAATATTAGAATTTTAGAATATGTAACTGAGATCTTTATTACATATTCTTATATTGTACATAAAGAAATTTTTAAAAATTAAAATGGGAAGAGGCTTCTGAACAAGATGAACCCCTGAACTGATATAGATGCCCTCTACAACTCATAACTTCATAACAGTCTTGGCCAAGAAAGAACCCAAGCAAATAACAGAGACAAAAAGGAAAGAAAATTTTGGAAGAAGGGAAACTACGTTGGAGGAAGAAGTGCTACTGGAGGTAAAAATAAGGTTGAACTAAGAACTGGCAAAAATGAGGTGACATTCTGGCATCTGAACACAATTCTTACTGTGCCAATGGCGTGGTACCAAAAAAGAGAACACAAAATCCTAAACTGATTTTCCTGGGAACATTTCTTCATAATTGATAAATCTTAGGAGTGATTATACTGTTACTTTGCATAATGCCATTTATTCTTCTATTCCTAGAAATCTCATTTCTGTTGGTTTTTTAGCGCTAGTTGCATATTTTTGTTTCACTGAAAACCATTTAAATTACAAAAAGTAATTTCCAGCATTAAACAGCCATATCTTAAGACCACCTGGAATGGTGACAGATGAGAGTTTTATAATATCATCTTTACATTCTGCAGAACAATAGCTCATGCTAATCAGCTTTCTTTGAAACCTCAACAGCACTTTGAACTCAAGACAGTTTCATACTAGGTTTTCTAATTTCAATATGTAGATGGAATAGAGACTTATAATTCTCATTAAATCTTCACAAAGCCATAACTGAGGACTGGGGAGAGAATGCTAACCTGTAATACTACACATATCTGGCTAAATTACAAGTACTCAAAAATTATAAAAATTACCCAGAACTTCTAAAAGAGTTTGTCTGAAATAGTGGCATTTTCAGAAATACTGCGAGTCTTTGAAGTCTACTGCATTTGTGTTGAAGACTTTTCTTCTTGGTATTCTTGAATATATATTGACCTACACTCCGGCACTATACCCCATTACCCCATTATCTGTATATATGGAAGTTTTTTTAAAAAAAATCTGAATAGAACTGTTAGCAACAAAGGGGGGGGGAGATTCAGGATCATGAAGTTTACTTTATGGCAATCACAGCAGTAGATAGGGTAAGTTGAGAAGTATAATAATTTAACAATAGCTATAATAGACATAGGACATTATCACACCAGCCTCATGTCTTGCAGCAATCATGTTATGAAAGGAAACAGAAACATATTACATTGAAAATGTTTCTTATTACACCTCTCTTTTTTCGTGTGACTGCACTGCTTTGAAACCCAGCCACCTTGGGTATGATGTCTCTTCCCTGCAGTTCTGGCATTACAGTTCCATGAGGAGGCCTGATTCTCCTCCTCTCCACCCCCCACTTGCTATTCCAATGTAGGCTAACTCTTTGCTGGTTGGTTGGTTGATTTTTAATTTTGCTGTGTTTGCATAATTATGGCAAAATATTTTTATTTTATCATTTTGTCATA